TGGTAACACACCCCCGGTCACCACTCCAAAACCAAGGAAACTTTTCCAAACGCCAGACCGGATACCGCCAGCAATAAAGTTAGACGCTTGGAAGGAAGAGAACTGGAGTGAGTCCAAGACACATAGAACAAGAACAAGAACAAGAACAAGATGGCCACGGACAACAAGTACGACCGCCAGCTGAGGCTGTGGGGCGGGAGCGGCCAGAAGGCGCTGATGGAGGCCAACATCCTTCTCGTGAACGCCGGCGCAACCGGCACGGAGACCCTGAAGAACCTCGTCTTGCCAGGTTGGTTGGTCGGTCGGTCGGTCGGTCGGTCGTTTTTTTGCTTTTTACGGGGGGGGGGGGGGTTCGGTCGTATAGGAGGGGGTCTGTTTGTTGCCACACAAATATTGTACGAAGTAGTTGTTGCATATCGCGGTAGATATCTAAAAGTTGAGATACCGAGCAAAGACCGGGCCGGCAGTTTTGATGCCAAGACAACAACAACAACAACAACAACAACAACAGCAACGGCACAACAAATACACGTGGACCATACCCCGGGGGAAAATGTTTCGGAAAAGAGCTCAGTCTCTCGGAGTGTGCGAAGCCTTTGCAGTCATCCGGTCGACACGAGTCGCAGATGATGCGCGTTGTGCTCGTAAAGTGTGTCTGCGGTTGTATGTACGGGTACGGCATGCTTGTTGTTGTTGGCGTCGTTGTTGTGCCTTGCCGGTATTTGTCTTGGTCACCCCGGCATGCACGAATGCGCCGCTCGATTCTATCCATACCCATGCTTATCTTGCAAAAGACGAACGAAATGTCAGTACGTACCCCCAAGATTATTTACTGCCATACAGCACGCGAAGTAAAAAGTTGCAACACTGGACCAATCACGAACATGCCCACACGTTGTTCGTACTGTATTGGATGGATGAATCAGGGGTCGGGCAATTCACCATCCTTGACGCTGAGGAGGTGCGGCAGTTGGACCAGGGCAGCAATTTCTTCGTCGGACCAGAGCACGTCGGCCTTCCAAGGGCAAAGGTGGCGTTTTTCGTTCCCTTTTTTTTTTTTTAGCACAACGAATCCATCCCTATCCGCAGATAAGAATCCAGGATAAACTTGCAGTGAACCCAGAGCGGTAGCGGAAGCACTAATACCCATGTTTCGTCGTTCGCATTCATTGCAGTTGGCGAGAGTTTGTTATATTTTATTTGTTTACTCTTCGCCTCTTTCTCCGAGGGCAAAAAGCCTATCGTGTGTTTTGGCAAGTACACACACCGCATTTGTTTTGCGGTTGGCATCGAAAATCGATCGATGTAGTGCCGATGAGGGTAGTCTCGATGTAGTGCCTGTTCGAACAAGAAGGGAAGCGTGTGCCTGGCTCTGATGATGGAGTCCCCTCCCCCGGTCCCCTCCTCTTCGCTTGCGTTACATGTATATATCAGGTCACAGCCGAGCTGCTCTGCGAGATGAACCCTGACGTGAAGGGGGGGTATGTTCAAGAGGACCCGGACTCGCAGATGAACAAGGGTGAGATGTGAGATGAGTCGAGTCGGGGCTTGTGTGCTCGTCTTCTGCTCCCTCCTCCGTGCATGCGGGGGCTGCGGCGGCTTGTGCCTTCTAGCGCTGGCTGTGGATCCTTGCCTCTTTGTCTCCCTCTTGGATGATTTAAGATACGTGTATCTCCCACTGATGCTATCGTTGTCGTTGGTGGTGCTGTTGTTGTTGATGTTGTTGTTGTTGTCGTTGGTGGTGCTGTTGTTGATGTTGTTGTTGTTGTCGTTGGTGGTGCTGTTGTTGATGTTGTTGTTGTTGTTGTTGTTGGTGGTGGTGGTGGTGGTGATAGCGGCGGTGGTAGTGTGTTTCTGTCGTGTTTGCGCGTCTTGTTGTAGTTACTGCTGCTGCTTCTGCTGCTGCTTCTGT